TGTAATTTAAGTAGGACTCTTGGTATTTTATTTTAAATGCAGCTTTCTTTTGGTTGGCAGTCTTAGAATCTGCTGTCTCATCATTGAGTCTTTCCTCCTTTTCAAAGAAGCTCTCCAGTGACGTTTGTTTTTTATTCATTTTGGCTAGGGTTAGCTTGTGGGCTTACCAAAACCATGCAGTGTGGGAAAGAGGCACAGACAGTAGTGGTAAATAAAATAATGGGAGGGCCACGCACAGACTAAAATAAGTATGGGATTTGACTTGAAGCCTGCCACCAGATACAGCTGTACAACTGAAGTAGATCAACTCACTCGCCACTCACTGACAGCATTTTGATATGAATCTGCAAATAATTGATTTATTATGGTCTCTGTGCAGTCAAGCCTCACTGCTAATGTTAATATGCAGTTGCAGTCACTCCCCAGTGCTAGCATCATCTCTTCAGGTCCACCTCAGATCATCAGGCATTAGATTCTCATAAAGAGCATGCAGCCTAGATCCCTCACATGCATGGTTCACAATAGGGTCCACACTCCTATGGGACTCTAATGCCTCCACTAATATGACAGAAAGTTCACAATAGGGTCCACACTCCTATGGGACTCTAATGCCTCCACTAATATGACAGAAAATGTAGCTCAAGCAGTAATGTGAACAATAAGGAGCAGCTGTAAATACAGATGAAGTTCCATTCACTCACCTGCCACTCACCTCCTGCTGTGTGGTCTGTTCCTAACAGGCCACGGACCAGTACCAGTCCATGGCCCAGGAGTTGGGGACCCCTGGTCTAAACTATGCCATATTTTTTTAAATGTGCTAATTTTTTCTGATAATAATAGCCAACATATATTGAACACTCGTTATATATAAAGAACCATGTGTTCCAGGGACATGTATTAACTCATTTCATCTTCAACATCCCTGAGAGGTTTCACAGATAAGAAAACTGAAGCACAGAGAGGTTAAATCACTTGCCCAAGATCACACGGCTGGTCACTGGGGGACACATATTTCAAGTCCAGGCTACTTTTGAAATGTAAAAAGGATGCACTAAGCAGTGCTTCTAATTCAATCTTAGATTTTTTAAAAAATACTTTACTTTATTGGTAATGAACTACCCACATTTTATTTTCCTTAAGATTGGCAAGAAGGAATTAAGTAGCTTCCAAGTCATTTTATCCATTCATTCATTTAGTCATTTGGTGAGCACTGGATGCCAGGTCTGCCCTCGAGAAATGTAGTTAAGGAGAGAAACAGGCGTGAAATAGACCATACTGTTAGGGGCATATGCAGTGATGGAACAGCATGCACAAGGGCAGAAATGACATAGAATTTATGACCAAGAAAGTATAGGTGGCTCAGTAAGATGGAAGTGAGATAAGCCAGATTGACAAGACCTTTCATTTTGACCAAGAAACTAGGATTCATCCCAAAGGCTTAGTAGGGCTGCCAGAAGGCATATGCAGGACAACGTCATCACCTGGACTTCAGAGACTCCTCCAGCACAGCCCATATGGGCAATACCAATTTGTGGTTATATCCATGTACCAAGTTCAACCCCCCTGGGGCCACCATTCTGACTCCATGACCCAAGAGCTGTGTAACCTCAGGCGCCATACATAACCTCACAATTCTTCATCTGTAATCTGCAGATAATCATAATACCCATCTCACAGGATTGGCATGAGGGTTAAAAAAATTATCATATATAGTAACAGTAAAAGTAAGCACTTGATAAGTATTAGCTACTAATGAGAGTATATTAGCTATCATTGTTAAAACTCTTATTCAGCTTATCATGAGTTATTAGTGACTAGTATTAATAATGGCCAACATTTATGGAGTGCTTACTCTTATTATTATCATCATCATTATTGTCACTCAGAGGTTGGAAGGAAGAGGCCAGAGGCAACTGTTGCCATAAATCGTGCCACTATTGGGTCATGATATCAATTTAGAGATCTAGCCCTTGACACAGACTAGAAAAAAAAAAAACAATTTAGAAAGCTATAATCAGCCTTTTAAAAATATAAAAAAATACCCTTTAAAAATATAAGAAAAGAGAATGAGCTAGAAAATATCAGAGTGCATTACTCACTGTGCAATAATTTTTGTTTCCATTTTAGACATCTAAACACACACACACTCACATATATCAATGTGCATATTGGGTCACAACGTAAGATGTTTTTCTAATTATGAAAGTTTCAAGGACCTCAGAGTAGAAGGTGCCACCCCTGGTCTTCCTCATGGCCCCACTTCTCAGATTCTCAGAGGACGATTGTCTTGCCAGTTGGCATCAGGAGGCTGAGCATCAGGACAGCAGAGCTCAGAGCCCTAGGTTCAGGCCCTAGCTGTATGATTTGATTTCTGTGTACCTTAAGTGGCACCCTTGCCCTGGAATTAATCCCCGGGGATATTTTGAGAATTGGGAACCAAAAAGTGTCACTTACGCATCTTAATTATCTCTGAGTACAACCCTAATACACTGCAGGCTATCTAGCAGTGCCAGCTTTGCCACTAACTCACCATGTAGCCTTAGGCAGGAATCTGCATGTCCCTGCATCACTGTTGCTCCATCTGTAAAATGGGGATGAAAATAGTTGCCATACATGCTTCACAGTTATCATGAGGTGCCAATAAAATCACAAATGGTTGCACCCTTTGAAAAATATGGATTCAGGCCAAAGGGCTGCATCTCATGTCCATGATCAAAGGCAAAACTTGGAAACCGTTAGTCTTCAAACCAACTCTGATCTACCAGTATGTTTTGCTTGGCTTACAAAGTTTTGAAATTTTTGAAATTAAAAAAATAATGGATAACATTTAAAAATCATACATTTTACATCTAACTCCCAATTTCCCGCTTGCCTTAGAAATTCACAAAACACCCCCATCTCCGCATTCCCACATTGCAGCACGGGCAGGTACTGAGTGCCCACTGCCCTTTTGGAGACATCCTCTGTACCCTAGCTTTCCGGCTGTCAGAGACCCCACCCCAGACACGAGACTGGATGCAGGCATCACGTATCACAGCTCTTGCTCTGCTATTTCTCCAACAGGACAGTGGATCAAAGGTGTGTTCTGTGTACCCGTATTACTCTGAAAAATGGAACACTGAAAAGCCAAAACTGAGAAGGTTGTCTCAAGAAAAATTAAGGCCAGGTACAGTCACTCAAAACTGTAATTCCAGCACTTTGGAAGGCCAAGGCAGGAGGACTGCTTCGAGAACAGGCTGGGCAACATAATAAGACCTCGTCTCTACAAAAACATTTAAAAATTGGCCAGACCTGCTGACACATGCCTGTTGACCCAGCTACTTGGGAGGCTGAGGTGGAAGGATCGCCTAGACCCAGGAAGTCAAGGCTGCAGTGAGCCGTGATCATGCCACTGCACTTGAGCCTGGGTAACAGAGTGAGACTCCAGCTCAAAAAAAAAATCAGAGACCTCATATATTTTTGTGGAAGATGTTCTACTTTCCTCCTGTACTGACCTCCTGGCCCTGTGGGGGGTTGTGAGTGCTACCCCAGAGCAAGACATTGGGAGGGAGAGAGAGGTTGCCATCACAAATAAAAACTCTCGGGGTGTCAATGCAGGGCAAAAGGATCAAGAGGAGACAGAAAGGGTCAAAAAGGAAAAGAGGAGAAAGGGTAACTGGGAGCCAACCCCACCAGACTCCCTAGCAACACCCAGATGCATGGGGCAGGCGCCAAGTTGCCCATCAGTGATGGTGGCACCAATGCAGAGGCACGCCCTGAGTAGCTGGAAAGACACTTGTGCAGTAAGAGTGGGAGGGCGTCTCAGGGAGGCATAATGAAATAGGACAAACATGAGCTTCAGAGCCACACAGACTCAAAAACTCTGGTCAGTGATCTACCTTTAGAAAGCCTACCCTAGCCGGGCTCGGTGGTTCAGCCTGTAATCTCACGCTTTGGGAGGCTGAGGTGAGTGGATTGCCTGAGCCCGCAGGTTCAAGACCCACCTGGGCAACTTGGCGAGACCTCATCTCTACAATAAATCAAAAAAATCAGCCGGGTGTGGTAGCGCGTGCCTGTAATTCCGGCTACTCAGAAGGCTGAGGTGGAAGGATCACTGGAGCCCAGCAGGTCGAGGCTGCAGTAGCCGGGAGCAGCCACTGCACTCCAGTCTGGGTGACAGAGTGAGACTCCAACTCAAAAAAAAAAAGAAAGCCTTCCCTGGTGCTTCAGTGACTCCTGTTTTTCTGCCTGCAGAGGTTTGAGCCTTTTTTGGTGCCCGGTGGGTCATGACCAATTCCTGGGTTCTGATCCTGGCTTTGTTATTTTCCACCTAGATGACTTTGAAGGAAGTTCTAAACCTTAGTGTTGTCAGCTATCAGGTGGCGTATGGTTAGCTGGTTAATTAAATGAATGCTTGTTAGCTGCCTACTACGTACCAGCCCTTACTCTAGATTAGAAGTGAGCAGAACACGTAAGGCCTCTGCTCTCGTGGAACTTATGTGCTAGAGCAAGGAGACAGAAAACAAGCAAATGATTATATAACAATCTGGCAGTGGTGAGTGTGGGTGGGTTGTTTCTACCTTGGCTCATTTCCAAAAGAGGCTGGCTAGAGTACTAACATCCCGGGACATGTGATGATTTACCGAGATCATATATGCCGAGTGCTTACCCAGTGCCTGCATATAGTCGTGCATTTCACAAAGTCTTAAGGAGCCCATAAGAATTCCGGGTCAGGCCCTGTCCCCGTTGGGATGTGATGGGAGCAAAGCAGGTGTGGTTCCTATCCAGGGGCATTCCTAAATGCCTCTAAGTCTGCTTCCTTGACATCGCCACTGGAGGAGAGGCTGGGCATCTTCAGTGTGGGTAGGCTAAGTCACAGAAGACAGGAGTCATAATTAGAGGCCTCGGTGCCAGCCTCCTCTGCCACCTATGGCTGGGTGCTGGCGGAGCGGGGACCCCCGGAGTGGCCTTTGCCTCCTGAGGCCGGAGCTCACGCCCTTTCTTTGGTTTCCCGCCTCCAGACACCTCGGCCCTGAGCGCGGCGCGGACCCTGTTTGTGGATGCGGAGGAGCGCGGGCCAGAGGCCATGGACGTGAAGGAGAGGAAGCCCTACCGCTCGCTGACCCGGCGCCGCGACGCGGAGCGCCGCTACACCAGCTCGTCCGCGGACAGTGAGGACGGCAAAGCCCCGCAGAAGTCCTACAGCTCCAGCGAAACCCTCAAGGCCTACGACCAGGACGCCCGCCTCGCCTATGGCAGCCGCGTCAAGGACATGGTGCCGCAGGAGGCCGAGGAGTTCTGCCGCGCGGGTGAGGGCCGGGGCGGGGCGAGGGCGAGGGCGCGGCGGGGGCGGGGCCGGGGCGCAGGTGTGTATCTGGGCGTGAGGGGAGGTGGGCGTGAGGGCAGGCAGGCGTGAGCGCAGGTGGGCAGGAGCGCGAGAGGGTGCGCCGGGTCAACATCAAGTCTCAGCTGACCAGCACTCGGTCAAAGCCCACCCTGTAATCCATTTGTAATTGATTTATTTTCTGGCTCACCCACTTCCCTGGCATAGTGAGGTGGTTAGGAGCTGGACACCAGTGTCCCCCTGCTTAAAGCCGAGTTACCCTCCCCTCTAAGCCTCATCTGCTAGATGGGCATGAGAAGTCTCCCTACTGCACTGCATTGTTGTTGGGACTTAATGGGATGGCACGTTTAAGTGGTGAGCATGATAACACCAAGTTATTGCTGAATTAATGTTCGTTCTTGGTTTTATTATTCATTCAACAAGCATTTTTTTTTTTTTTGAGCTGGAGTCTCACTCTGTCGCCCAGACTGGAGTGCAGTGGCCGCTCCCGGCCACCACAGCCTCGACCTACTGGGCTCCGACGATCCTTCTGCCTCAGCCTTCCGAGTAGCCGGAATTACAGGCATGCGCTACCACACCTGACTGATTTTTTGATTTATTGTAGAGATGATGTCTCGCTGCCCAGGCGGGTCTCGAACCTGCGGGCTCAGGCAATCCACTCACCTGAGTCTCCCAAAGGCGCGGGATTACAGGCTGAGCCACCGAGCCCAGCTAACAAGCATACTTTAGCAGCTTCTTCGTCTCAAACCCCGGGTGACTTTGAGAGAAAGATGCTACTGAGATGCTTAAACCTGAAAACAGTAACTGGGAGGCTACCCTGTGCCTAACTCCCTCTCCTTCACTTACTGCTTTCAGTAGTCACCAAAGCCTGTATGCCCTGTCACAGAATACTTTTTAAATCCATCCCTCTTCTCCACCACCTCTGCCACTTCCCAGTTCAGGCCCCGGTCCTCTCTCTCTTGGAGGATTAACCACAACCACGCCCTCCCCCAGAGCTGCCCCCCTTGGGCCATTCTCTGCACTGCCGCAAAAGTGAAGTTTGGGGGTGACTCTCCATTGCCCTTAAACTGAGCTCCTTATCCTGGTATAGAGAACTTTTCCCAGATCCGTTTCTGACTTCCGTGACTTTTTGTCCCACAACCCCATGCTTGTGGTTCAGTCTTGCTGAGCTGCTCACTGTTCCCACACCTACCATGATAATCGTTTCCTACCCTGGCGCCTCAGTGATTTCTGGTTTTCTGCCTACAGAGGCTTGAACCTTCTTTGGTGCCTGGTAGGTTATGACCAATGCCTGACAATGTGTGCAACCGAACCTGACTCCTCCCTGGTCTTCTCTTCTCCAAAAACAGGGTCAGCCGAGCACTATACTGTGTAACTTATATACATATTTGGCAACGTGACTGAATCCTTACAACAACCCCAGGCTGGATCATTTGCCCCAGATCACAGAGGGAAGAGGAGGCGGTCACACACACACACACACACACACACACACACACACACGCACACACAGAGCCCACCTATGTCCATTCCCTCCCGCAGGCCTGGATCCACATGAAAGCTGACCCCTTAATAGGGCCGCCTCTCCCACTTGAAAAATGAGGAGTCCCTTTCCCCACTTGTGCTTAGGTCAAACTCTGGCATCAGACCTATCTGGATTTGAATTGTGGTTCTGCCATTTTTACTGCCCTCAGCTTCTTCACCTGTGCAAAGGGATAACAGTACCTCATAGTAAAGTGGTAAGGATTGATGAGTATTGTAAATAAAACACTTGACACCAGTACCTGGCACACAGCAGAGCCTACATAAATGCTGTCTACTATTAATTGTTGCCTCTGGGACTCACTGAGGGTAAGAGAAAAATGATCTCAAAGCTTTCCTCCAGCTCAGTCCTGCCCTCATGTGACAGAGCTCAGTGAGTCCCGCTTGGCTTGGATGCTAACCTAGACAGCAGACTCAAGGGAGAACCCCTTCTTGTCTTTTAAATAACAAATCAGAGGCATTCTCATCCCATAGGCAGGCATTGGTGTAGTGGTTTATAAAATACTCTCGCTGGAATTATCACCCTGGGTCCTCAAAAATCCTTTGAAGGTCGCAGGTCATAGATGATCACCCATTTTAAAGGCAAGAACATTGAAGCATAGGTGACCACCAGCTAGATGATTGTGCAACCTAGGTGACTGCACAGCTAGATGTTGAGTGAGGCGGGATGTCAACCCATGCCCTGGGCCAGGAAAGAGGCCAAGAGGACATAAAATCATGAGCACGTCTCACATTTGATGAAGACACTCCTGGGACTACTAGAAATTTGGGAGAAGCTGTCCCTGAACAGGCACTGAATTGACATCCATTCCAAACTCCTCACATTGGAGGGGTTGGCTAGCTCAACAGGATCACCAGGCCCTTACAGGCCTTCCCTCGCGTTCCTCCAGGCTGAGATGTCTCAGCTCACTCATACTGACACTGAGTCTGGCAGCGTAAACGGGGATGCAGGGCAAGTCATATGGAAATCAATGCAGCCCAGACTGTTTATTGCAAATAGATTTGATTTTTCACTTAATGTAGCAGTCATTCTTTATCACATGTGATTGGCCTCTCTTGGGAGAACCAGTCCGGCAGAGCACAGAGAGGGCAGGATGGGGGAGGGGGTGATGTCAAGGGCAGGACAGGAGAAGTAGGTGTGGAAAGCAGGCTGGGAGGTTCCATTTTCATTTTCTTAGAAGGAAAGCAAAACAGGAGGGCAGATCGACTATGGCACACAGGAGTGATATGCAGAAGGTTTAACATCTGGTCTGGCCCAGCCCCTAACCAATCAGAATGTCTGCCTGGCCACCGTGGAGCCCAGAGGCCCCTACTATGCCAGTCCTGCTGACATTTGTCGTTTGTGTAGGCACAGCATCATGAGGAGATGAGGGGAGGGGTAGGAAAGAGGCTGGGGTAGCCAGAGCAGAGCTGGGAGACACAGCATGGAAGGGGATGCTGAGGTAGCTCGGGCGCCAGTTGTTTGCCAGCCCCTGTGGAAGCACTTCATGCTGTAACCTCACGACAAGGCCAAGGCAGCCGGGTCACAGGCTTGAGCACCCTTCCTCCCAGGGCCACAACCTGGCTCAGAGCCTTCATCTCAGCAGCGTCCCCATTTCTTCCACTTCCCCACTTCCCTCTCCCTTGATGCATGGTCCAGAGCACTTCCAGAGTGTGTGTGTTTGTGTGTTCATGTAACTTTTATGGAACACCTGCTCTGCACTGGGGGGGATAGGTGTTGGGCACAGAGAGGACCTGGCTCCTCAGGGAATCCAAGGGTTACTTGGTAAGAGTGAGACACAGTTATAATGGGATGCCACCTCTGCTGACTTCCCTCCTGCCTCCCAGGCAGCTCCTTCTCCCTTTCCTACACAAGCTTGTCCTACTCGGTCCTACCCAGGTTGCAGGATGCCCTTAAGCATGGGTGCCCACCTCTTCTGTCATCTGCTTCCATTCTCCACACATATATCCCAGACCTCTCCTCAGGACTCCTCACCCAGATGCCCCACTTCTGCCTCTGTGCTCCCTCTCTGTGGACCTCCCCACTTTGAACCCTTAATCATGTGTTTAGGTGTCTCTCCCCCTCACCACCATCTGACTGCGAGCTCTGTAAAGTCAGGCACGACACCCTCCTCGCTGCTAGTTCTCTGTAAATGCCTGGGCCGGCTCGAGTGGGTTTAAATGTGGGTGCTGCCTTATAGGTCCATTCCTCCCAGATCATCGTTGTCATCAGGATATGACCTTAGTACCTTGGTATGTTCCCTCTTCCTTCCTCCCTCAAGACACTCCTGGGACTACTAGACATATGGGAGAAGCTGTCCCTGAATAGACATGTACTTGACATCTAGGAGTGGCAGGGAGGCTGGTTTCCCATAAAGTCAGCATTCCTTTTGTCTCTTAAAACACTGATCCCTGGGTGAACTCGCTTCCCCCATCTCCTCTTGCCCTCAGTCCTGGGCATTACCAGACCTTCCCAAGTCCTCAAGAGACCTGCCCATGCCACTTCCCCACCACTTCCCCACCCCCCACCCCCCACCCCCACTGGGATAAGGAAACCACGGGCAGAGCCCGTTTCCTTGTGCAAAGCCAATTTTTCTCTGCCAGTCACCATCTTCACTCGAATGCTCCAAGCTTCCTGACCTGGCCAGAAAGGAACTTCTGGTCCCAGGGGAGCCATTTAGGCCTAGACTTCTGCCCTGCTCAGGACTTGCTGACAAATCTCCCCTAGAAAAGGAAGATCTGAGTCCTCAATTTAATTTAACAGATGTGTATTGGGCTCCTTCTTAGTACTGGATTTTGCTCTAGGCCCAGCGATTTACGAAAAGGCAAGACTTGGTGCCTGTCCCTGTTGAGGTCTTCTCCAACAAAGGAGACAGACCCTTAAACAACACTAAGACCCTTAAACAACTGTGCAGTGTGGTTGAGGCTAAGGACTCTGGGAGGGAGCTTGGAGGAAGAAGCAATGAATTTTGCACGTGTGTCAGTGCTGGGGGAGAATTCACAAAGGCAGTGCCATTTGAGTTGGGCCTTCGAGGATATGGAGGGTTCAAGCTGGTTGGGGAAGGGGAGGGCAGAAACAGCCCTGCTTGTGGGGCAATGGCTTGAGCAAAGGCATGGGCGTGGAATGCCACAACAACCTCAAGGAACAACAGTGGGCCAGGCACAGTGCCTCATACCTGTAATCCCCACACTTTGGAAGAACAAGCGAGAGGATTACTTGAGTCTAGGAGTTCAAGACCATCCTGGCAACATAGCAAGGGCCTGTCTCTATTTTTTAAAACATATAAAAATTAAAAGAATGGCAGTGGATCTGGGATAAGCAGGCCAAGCTTCTGACCTCGCCTCAGCATCCTAACCAAGCTCACCCATGTATCCTTCCAGGCACCAACTTCTCCCTGCGTGAGCTGGGGCTGGGGGAGGTGACGCCCCCTCACGGGACCCTATATCGGACAGATATCAGCCTCCCTCACTGCGGCTACTCCATGGGGGCCAGCTCTGATGCCGACATGGAGGCCGACACCGTGCTGTCTCCTGAGCACCCCGTGCGGCTGTGGGGCCGGAGTACGAGGTCAGGGCGCAGCTCCTGCCTGTCCAGCCGGGCCAACTCCAACCTCACGCTCACAGACACGGAACATGAGAACACCGAGACCGGTGAGTAGCCTGCTTGTCCTGTGCCAGGTGCCTGGGTTGCGGGGCCGGGGATTCAATTACAATATTGATGTTTTGCTCCATTGCTTGGGGCTCTGATGAAGCTGATGAAAAATTGCTTTGCTCTCAGTGGTCAAAAGTCAGAGCTTCTTGCACGGTCACATGAAATACACGCCCATGGGTGAAATGCCAGAAATTGGATCGCTGCTTTTTCCTTCCAGATTAGAGAGGCACATGAGGGGCTGGGTTATTGCTCACAAGATGCCTACATGCTGGGGAACAGAGGGGCACGGGACAGTGATCACAGATCCACCATAGACTATCTGCTGTTAAATCAACAGTTCCTTGGTCCTCCTGAATCCTGCTTGTGACACCTCTAGCCTCCAGGTGCCCAGCAGTCCTGAGCGGTCTCCAGGGACTCTGTCCTATGCAGTATCATATTGCTCAGAGGATGGCTTCCAAACAAAAACTGTTATTTCAGGGTAACTTGAGGTTTAGGGAGGATGTTCATCAAAAGATATGAAGTTTCCATTAGGGGGACGTTTTCAAGATCTATTGCACAGAATGGTGATTACAGCTAATAATTATGCATATTATATACTTCAAAATTGCTAAAAGAGTAGATTTTAAATATTCTCAACACAAAAAAATGTTAAGTATGTGAGGTGACAGATATGTTAATTAGCTTGATTTAATCGTTTCACAATGTATACATATATCAAAATACCACATTGTACCTAATAAATATATACAATTATTATCTGTCAATTAAAAATAGCAATTTTTTCCAAGTGAAAAGGCCAAAAAAATTAATTAAAACTTGAGGCCAGGCTCAGGGGCTCATGCCAGTAACCCCAGCACTTTGGAGGCCAGGGCAGATGGATTACTTGGGTTTGAGATCAGCTTGGGCAATATAGCGAGACCTCATCTCTTTGAAAATTAAAAAGTTAGCTTGGCGTGGTGGTGTGCACCTGTCGTCGCAGCTACTGAAAGGTTGCCTGAGCCCAGGAGGTCGAGGCTGTGGTGAGCTACAGTCATGCCACTGCACTCCAGCCTGGGTGACCGAGTGAGACCCCAACTCAAAAAAATAAATAAAAACCTTGAGATTTTGCTCCTCCTTACCCCTGACCTCAGGAAATGCCGTCTCCAGACCCCTCATCCCACTCTCCTCCCTGAACGACTTCTCCCCACGCCTGTGAGAGGCTACAGGAGAAAATGCCGACATCTCATTCACAGGTCTCCTTCTCATGGTGAGGAGAGTGAGCCCAGTTTCATAATTTCCTTCTTGACTCTGGGACTTTGTTGGCCGTTCTCAGAGAGGCTCTGAGTCTAGTGCACTCCGGCACGGAGCCTTGTCGTGGGGTGTGGGGGATCTCCCCTTCTGTGGTGTTTGGTGCCCACTGGTCTCTGGGCAGCTGTTGAGCCAGGCAGCACTGAGGAGGGTCCTGCTGGGTCTGGCAGCGAAGCCCTAGGGAGAGTGACAGGGCCCAGGGATCCTCCCCCTTCTCCCTGGCCTTCCCACTCACTCCCCTCTTGCATCTCCCTCACACCTGTAAGGAGGAGTAGGAGCAGGAAGCATCAAGCCAGGTTCTAGTGCCCCCTGCTGGCCCCCAGCTCCCCACGCAGGGTCCTAAGGATTCCTGCCCAGGATTGCCCTGGGTGCCGGCAGAGACAGGTCAGAGATGAGGGCTTAGAAGGGTCAGTCTCTGTCAAGGAGGCTCCAGCTAAGTTGTACAAGACCAAGATTGATCCCCAAATTGGGGATCAGGCAGGAGACTAAGCAAGGTCAGGATCAGGTGGGGAAACTGATCTCCTCAAAGGGTCTAGTGCAGCAGAGTTCCAAATGTCCATTGTGCCACCCAGAGGACTCGGGACTCCTAGGGAGCTTGTGTACTTGCCTAGGGTGGGGGAGTGGCAGTGGCTTGAGCACAGGGCACTGGCTTGGCAGTGTTACGGCGAGGACCCCCCACCCCCCGCAGTGGGAAGCTATGCACACTCCTCACCCACCTCCCCAGAAGGCCCGTGCCCAGCCGGCAGCCCTGCCTGTCCCATCCGCACTACACAGTGAACCAGAGCACCAAACTGAAGGGCAGGGCAGGGCCTGGCACAGAGAAAATGGGGTCTGTGCCACCACAGGGGCAGCCCCAGTCCCATCTCTGGCCTGGAGTGTGGCAGTGGGTGAGGTGTACCCTTTCTCTGTACCTCAGTTTCCTCATCTATAAAATAAGTGGTTTAAATGAGCATGTCCTGTGTTCTGTGAATGTCAATAGTTCCTAGATTGAGAGGGAAAGTGTTCTGTGGTCACATAGTGTAGGAAACACCGAGTTGAAAAAATTTAAAGGGGTTTCTTAACTGCACAATTTCTCTGAGTCTTTAAGATGATAATGTGCACTAATGGATAAATTACCAACAAGGATGCATGCAGCAACATCCATTGATTTATTTTCAGAAATCTTCATCCTCAAAGCATCTTGGGGGACCAGTGTTTTACTCAACACTTTTGGAGAATAGCTGAGCTAAATGGCCTGCCCTTCTAGATCTAGAATTCTGTGATTCTAAGTGCATCACAGAATCCTGTGACTGAGATGAAGGTGCACAAGAAGAAAATGAAAATAATATCATTAATAGTAAACTGCTGCTCATTATCTCTACCTAAGCACAGTGCTAACTGCTTTAACTGTATGATCTCATTGACTCCCCCTCCAACCCCCTATAGAAAGTTTATTATTCCCATTGCACAGAGTAAGGAAACTGCAGCCCAGAGAAAACTGCGTAGGTCACACAGCTAGCAAGATGAGATTAGAACTCAGGCCTGTCTGACTCTAAAATCTTTGCTCTTAGCCCTAGTTATAGTGAATTTCCTGTGTGGCAAAATACTTAGGCTGTTTGTTCTTCTGAAGGCTTCTTGCCATAGTGACAGATGATCATCTTCCATAAAGTCATGACAGAGTGAGGTGCCCACATTAGTGTATATTCTCTAAGAGCTAAATCGCAGCTGAATTAAGCCTCTGTTGGGTGATAATGACATAGTCAACCACCTGAAGAGTTTCTGCCTTTGCTGATGACAAGGAAATGGCTGCTAGCTCCCCATGGCCAGGTCGCCCTTGTTTTCTGATTATCCATTTTCACATTGGCCTTGGAACTGTAAGCCTCATTGTACTCAGGGTAGATGGGCCGCAGAGGAGGTGGAAAGGGGAATCTGGACTCTGAAGTGAGTGGGATGGCCTCTGCATCCCTTCCAGCCCTGAAGTCCCTAAACCCAGACAAGTCATAGGTGCCCGAAGGTTGATCCACTTGCTCTCAGGTGGGACGTTCCATTCATGGCTTTGTGATACAGAAGTCAGGTCTAAATAATGACAGCAATCAGATGAATGGCTTGCTTTCATCCACTGATTGGGTGTACATTCTTGTTTCAACATTATCTCCTCAACTTATAGCTGAGAAAACTGAGGCACAGAGAAATTAAAGGGCATGCCCAGGGCCACAGGCTTAGCTGAACAGGAACCAGGCTTTATCACCAATCTTGGTTCCTTTCAACTTTCCCTCCCTTCTTCCTGACCCACCCTCTAGCCTCTTCCCTTCTCCCTCACCTTCTCACTCCCCCCTCCCTCCACTCTCACTTTCCCATTTCCCCCCTCCCTTCAGCGTCACCTTTCTACTCTCTCCCCTCCCTTTCCTTTACCTTTCCACTCCACTTCTTTCTTCCTCACCTTCCCACTCTCCCCCGTCCCTTCTCCCGGATCCTTCCACTCCCCCGTCCTTATCTCTCACCTTCCCACTCTCCTCCTCCCTTCTCCTCCACCTTCCCACTCTCTCCCCTCCTTTCTCCCTCACCTTCCCAGTCTTCCACCCTCTCTAGTCCTTCCTTTCCTTCCCTCCCAGCGCTCTTTTCCTATGATTAAAACTTGGATCTTACCATCAGAACAGGGCCTGGTTCCACTGGAAGTCAGCCAACACATCACAGTGTGGTCACTTTTCAGGAGCAGAGGGAAGCCAGCCACCTCGTGCTGGGGGCCCACCACTGCACATGCGCAATTGCCTTTAATCCTCATGACAACTCAGTGGATTCCCATCTGCAGATGGGAGAACTGAGGCACCAGAAAGCTCGATTGACATGACAAGCCTTAAGTCAGCAAGTTGGCAAAGCTTGGATTTGAACTCAGGTCCTCTCTGAAGCGCTGAGCCCTGTCTACAGTCTGAGCCCTTTGCCAGGCCCCACGTGAGTCAACAAGAGCATTCGACTGCCAATTGAGGCCCCCAAAAATGTGCAACTAAGTACTCAGAGATCCTTACCAAACAAATGTGAAATACAGAGCATAACCCCCAGCAGCCTCCAACCGCAGGAACATTTACTCTGCCTCTACCCCCGGCACCCTTGCATTAGTCAATAGTAATTGTCAACAGTATTGATAGCGGTGGAGGCTTTTGCTGAGGTCACAGTGATGCTGCATGCAGCTGCCATCAATAATAACTTTTATGGGGTCCATTAAAGACAATTTCTGCCCCTGAAGGTTAATGTCAGCAGCTTTTATGTCACTGCTTAATATCTAAAATAAATACAGAATTGACTGTGTAATGTAAACACAAATCTTCCTCCTCGGGGCCATCAGGCAGAGCCAGCCCTCAGGCCTCTCCTGCTGAGAGAAGCTGGCATGTCAGGAACACAGTCGGCATTCAACAAATGATTGTTAGAAAGCAGAGGCTGTGATTTGAGCTCCATTCGCAACGGCAAGGTCAGTCTGACACAGTGTCTTTTGTGGATTCTGTAATTTGTTCTGTACCTGTGCTGAGCTCCTTCAGAGTGCCAGGCATTGGTTCTAGAATGTGGGATCTCAGTGATGAGTGGGGGAAGAGGAGCTGCAGCCACCTTGTGGCTCTGTGATAGAGGTGTAGCAAGCAGTTGTGCGGAATGGAAAGGACACTCACTTCAGAGTCCAGTGAGGAGATCTGGCCTTGAGCCTGGCTGTGCCATGTCCCAGCTGCGAGACTTTGGGCAAGTCACTTCACCTTCCTTCTGAGTCACTGTTTCATAGGTTTAAAAATAACATGCCAGTTCTTAACGGGGACTTGTGGGGGGTGATGAAGGGAATGTATTGTTTAATAAGTACAGATTTCTAGTTTGGGATAAAGCGACAGTTCTGGAGATAAGTAAAAGTCATGGGTGTGCAACAATGTGAACATACTGAACTGTACACCTAAAGGGGGTTCAAAGGATTAAATTGTAGGTTATGTACATTTTACCACATAATTAAAAACATACAAAAACAGCATGCCATCTTCCTGCCTTGAAGGGTGGCTGTAAGCCTGAACTAGAGCATTTGTGAAACATCTAGTCCGTGTTGGTCCTTAACTCACGCTAGCTATTAATATTAATTTTTTAAAGAGCCGTTTGTTCTGTCCTTAAGGTGCCAAGGCTCATTCCTTCATTCCACTCCTGTTGTCCTCTCGGGCTGGAAGGCCTGCTAGGACTCCCTGGAGCCTGAGGATCTGAGTGAGTCACTCCCAGTAGAGGCAATTGCAAGAGCCACAGCTAGGCATGAAGAGGAATGTGGGTCTAGGCAATAGGAAGAATTTTCTCCGTGCCTTAATCCCAGAGGCAAATTGAGAAATTCCCTTTGAAAAGAAACAATGAAACAGATTCACATTTTACCCACCCCACCCCCAAATTATCAAGCAGCACAGATGTCAAAAGGGAAATCATTGGTTAACCCAATTATGCAGCTAAATTGCTCATTTGCAGTCAGTAGATTAGGTGAGTATCTTCAAAGCACAGTGAGAAAGGAGCTCATTACCAATTAACTCAGTTTATTCCCTACCCTCTCTGGCCCCACACCCATGAGACTTGACTTTAAACATCTATAGGAATATCTACCATTCTGTCCCAGAGTGGTCAGAGTCCTGCAGCCAAACCCAAGCCACTGGACAACAGGACATCATCTTCTAGGATGGGAAGTTGGGCCCCATCAGCCAGGGAAGGGATTGAGATCCATGTTTGACTGCTTTTCTACTATGGGAGCCAGCCCACACCCTTCCCAAGAAAGCAGAGGGGCTCAGTGTTTTCAGGGAATTAGTCTCCTACAGGTCAGAGCTATCCATGGAAACCCTGTGCATGCTGTAAGCCTGCATGTTCCAAAAGGACCAGCAAGATCCTGGTAGAGCCAGAGCAGCTGAGCATCTGAGAAGCTGTGAGCTAGAAGGA